TCATCCTGGACAGTGGCTCTCACACTCACTAGTCCTCTGCCTCCTTCCTAGTCCTCTGCCTCCGTCCTTACGGCTCGTGTACAGTCTCAAGGGGATTTCCATGCATGATCTCCATGCATGGTTAGTAGCTTCCGAGTCTTAACATCCGTGGCCTTCATCTCTTCCATTGGCCAGCTAATTATTCCGGCAGGGTATCTGATTACTGGCAAGGCATAGCTGTTTATTGCACGGATCTTGCCATTGAGCTGGCTTCTCAGGACTTGCCTTATTCGTTGGAGGTATTTGGCTGTGGCTCCTTTCCTTGTGACCTCATCGAGGTTGCCATTTGCTTGCTGTATTCCCAGGTACTTGTAGCTGTGCTCTATGTCTGCTATTGTTCCTTCTGGGAGTGATACCCCTTCTGTGTGGACGACCTTCCCTCTCTTTGTAACCATCCGGCCACACTTCTCTAGTCCGAATGACATCCCAATGTCAGTGCTGTAGATCCTGGTGGTGTGGATCAAGATCCTGGTGGTGTGGATCAGTGAGTCGATGTCTCGCTCGCTTGTCTTGTTGATGATTTGGCTGAGGGGGTTCAGGCCTATGCAGAACAGCAGAGGGGACAGAGCATCTTCTTGGTATATGCCACATTTGATGGACACTTGTGCAAGTGGTTTGCAGTTGGCTTCAATTGTGGTTTTCCACAGCCCTATCGAGTTTGCAATGAAGGCTCTTAGAGTCCTGTTGATGTTGTACATCTCTAAGCATTCAATGGTCCAAGTGTGTGGCATTGAGTCATAGGCTTTCTTGTAATCAATCCAAGCGGACAATAGTAAAAAATTTTATTTAAGGATAAAAAAAAAATACATTTGAAAAAAACTTAGAACAAATAAGAGAAAATATCAGTGAGGTAAAGCATTGAAGAGTGAATTTAATCAAACCCATTATCGTCAGGCATTTTGGAAACCAATGAAATAGCTAGAAAATGAGAAAGATCCCTTTAAAGGGGTTGAGAAAGATGGCTGTATGTCTTCAGATTGAAGATATTTTAAAAAGTGGGAATCATATTTTAGGTCTTTATTTTCTGGTAGTTCTGGTTCCCCTGAGTGGGATCATTCTCATTTAGAAAGTACAAAAGTCCTTAAGAATCAGATAGAAAGTTTTATCCCAATGAGTTTCTCAAATATGTATTTAAACTCTCATATTATAGAAAGTGGGTTTAAAGTGGCTATTAATAAGTTTAAACTTATGAAAGCCACAGGCTGATAATTTATCTGATGAAGTGTTAAAATAAATTGGTCTGTTTCAAATGTTGCATAATCTTGTTTTACTTGTTTTGAACAGGGTTCAGTCAGAATGACAAAATGTTTTTATTAAACCAATTTCAAAGTTACAAATTACTAATCCCTGAGTTCCTATGAACTACAGAGACATTAGCCAACTAATCTGTGTCTATAAACTTTATTTCAGTGTTCTCAATGACAGGTTGGTTAATTATTTACATTTACTTAATTTATTGGCAGGGAAATAGAATGGGTTTAGAAAGAAAGGAGCTTCTATAGATCATATTTATTATTTAACTACATTTGATAAAACCAGGAAACTAGAAGGAAAATCTACTTTTGCCTTATAGATTTTCAAAAAGCTTTTGTTAATTGGAAACTGTTGTGTTTTCAGTTGTTAAAAACACGAATTGACGGGAAATTTTATAATGATCTAAAAGCTGTTTATCAAAATCCAGAATCTTGTGTTCAGATGAACGACTAGAACAGGCTGGTTCCCAAAACCATGTGGTGCTAAACAACGTGACGTCTTGTCTCCTACTGTCTTTGCTTCTTATATAAATGATCTGGTAGCAGCAGTTAGGAGTCAGAGCAGGTGATATAAAAGTCTGTATGTTACTGTAATGCAGGTAACATCAAGTTTATTACTGAGAATGAATCTGATCTTCACAAACTGTAAAATACTAGGTTTTTCGGTGCGGGGGGGTTTGGTGTAACAACATGAGGTTAAAGATAAATTGTGATCAAACTGAAGTTATTCATATTTAAAAGCTGAGTCACACACTGACAACATTTACTTTTTGCTTTGTCGATTACTAAAAAAATATAAATATTTGGGATTTTTTGTAGATTAACATCTTATGTTTGAAGAAGTCCAGTCAGATTCAGCTGGTAGAGCATCAGGAGTCCAACAGATATATGTGAGGAAGATTTTCAGTACATTTATAGAAATAAGTTGACATGTAATATTGAACAAATCAAGTTATTTTATTTTGAAACTTATAAGTAAAAATGACATAGTGACATTTTAAATTATTAACTTATATTTTAATAGAGGATATTTGTGGCCCAGAGCTTTATGTGACATGGGAGTAACAATCAGAGGTCAGTGTTTGCACAGCTGGTACTTTGCTTCATTAGAAACTGGACGATTTTAGAAATCAGCTTTAAAACCATACAAATCCTAAAACCAACGTAAGAAACAGTAAAATCAAGAGAAAAAGGCCTGGGAAAATAAAATGTTCTAGTTGTTTTTTAAAATCCTCCACAGAGTCGGCAGAACGGAGCTGCTACAGCAAACCGTTCCACCGCCTTGGGGCCACCGACTGAAAGGCCCGGTCCACTTTAGTTTGTAACCGTGTTCATGGAACAACCAGATTCAGAGTCTGAGAACGAAGAAGCAGAATATTTAACCTGACAAAGATAATCAGGAGCCTGGCCATGAAATGCTCTGAACTCACTTCTTACATAAACAAATAACCTTTTTTATCATAAAACACAGTTGTCCATGTTTATACCTCATTCTGCTTTCCAGTGGTTCTATTTTAAAGATTTCCCTCTGGTTCCTTCAGGATCTCATAATGTCTCATCAGGAAGTGCAGCATGTCACAAAAAACACAAAGAAGAAATATACCGTTCTTCAAAATAAAAGCACTAATGACCACAATGTTGGGTCCCAGTAGGAGCATTTTAAACATTTAGTTACCATTTACAGAAATTATTTGATTTTTCTATTGTGTAAATCTATATTAGCAATATTTTCCTCTCTGAACTTTGGGGGAAAACCTGAATGATCTCATTCTGCAGATTTCCTTAAAGTTATTTATGTTTCTGCAGGTAGCACCACCATAACCTGTGGTTCAGCATCTAGCACTGTAAATTTGGGTGCAGTGGATGAAGGATATACAGGTAAGATGATAAAAACACTAATTTAATTAAGTTTAGAAATAGATCAATTAAGACTGACTGGCTCCATTCAGTATGCCTTTTCTCTGTCATGTTACAGAAACAGATAATTTATTAAGTGCAATGAATGAATTCATGAGGTAATTTAGTTTATTGGATCATTTTTTGCTGCTGCAGGTGATGTGGAGTTGGTGTCCGGTATCCCAGCTGGTACTAGTGTGAGATTGGAGCTTGATATTTATCCTGAGCATCTTCAGTTTCTGGAGTTGAACTTCACTTCAGGGGAAACCACAGTGACTGTTCGCACCAAGAAGCCGCTCGACGCCGAGGCCAATATATTCTTTACGGTAAGCTCCCCCACTTTGTTGTACCTGAATTTGTTTGCTGGATATTTGTGTTTAATGCAGATCTTCACTGAGATGTTCAGCATAATTTATACTAACATGCTGCAGCAGAACTAACATCCTCTGTGTTTTTATGTTGCAGCCTGAGAGAATTTTGCACTACAGCTTAGTGTGCAATAATGATGTGACAGTGAGTGAAATTAAAAATTATGAAGCAAACATTACAAAGTGATTGAATAACAACTAAAACCCGTCACTTTCTGTTTTTATTTTTACAGTACAAAAACTCCCGCAGGTTGATAATCAATGATATAAATGACAACAGTCCAGTATTTGAGAAGAAGTTTTATTCTCAAAACGTTTCAGAGGTAAGTTAAAGGAACTATAAACCTTTCATACATCTGCAACATCTAAGAATCAGGTGATTGGCAGAAATAAATTTGATGGTGAAATAAAATTGGTGATGAATTATTCAATGTGATCAAAATAAATATCCAACTTTCTACCTTCATTCTTCAGAGTTTTCTCAAAGAAATGAGGAAGCAGCCATTTATCTCTTCTCGTTTTCTCTCTCAATTGTTCTGTTGTCTCATTTTTCAGAGTGAGGTTGTGAACACCGAGGTTCTGCGAGTGAGAGCTGTGGATGCAGACATCACACCTGAATTCAGCACCCTGACGTATAGCTATGTAAGAACTTTGAAGTCAATAGTTTTAAATAAGACTAATAGCATCCGGAAATAAAGGGGGCGCTATTTCCTACATTATCCGCAGTCTCCCGTTTTAATTTTCTTTTGAAATCTGATATATCTTCACCTTTAGGAAAGAGTTCCTCTTTCACCATGTATTTGAACTTGTCTCTTATTTACTTCAATGCAGCTCACAATTCTTAAATTCTGTAGCTTTCGCTGTACGTCTAAATCTGCATCTCTTTGAGTCTATTACTGCCTCTAGTGGCGTAGGGTGGTAACACAACTAACATACTTTTTCATTTTCTTAAGGTTGTAGAACTAATTAAATGACATAAACAAGACCTTTTATACATTATAGATAATATACATCTCCATCAGTTTTAGGAGGAATCAAAGAAATGAGAGGACATGAAAAGCAACATGCTCAACTATAATGAAAAACTATTTACAATGTACACATGAGACACTTAACAGCAAAAGTCAATAACAAAGAAGTGAATTAGGTTCACAGAAGGAAAAACAAATCTGGTTGTTACAAATACAAACAAAATACAAGATTCACATTTTTGTTTTTATGGTGCCATATATATTATTATAGGAAAGGTAAGATAAGACTATTTAGTCTATCAATGTGGAAAATTTCCTTCAACTGTAAAATGATCAAATATAACAATCATAGAATCACGATATCAACAATTTGTGCATACAGTAAAACACTTTGCATGCTATCATTTAGTTTGGTTAAGAATGATTATTGCACTGTCAATAAATGACGTCTAATAGATGTTCTTATTTGCCAGAGGGACACAATAACGCCTTCATGAGCTCAGAGGTTCAAACTGATAAAAATGGATGCTATCTGCTAAAATATTCCATGTTTTCCATGTTCTTTCACCAAATACTTGAGACAGAGCTGTTTGTGGTTTCACCACTATTGACCTGCCATTGAAAGTATTCTTAAAAGTTTGTCTTTTACTCTGGTGCTCATGTGACCATATCAGCTGAGGAGATAAAAAAATTAAACACTCAACATTGTCTTGTACACATCCTCTAGTTGGGAAACCCTAAGATCACTAGGTCTTCTTAAAAGAGTTTCTGAGAACATTTCTTAAAAATATAATCAGTGTTTTCAACAAAGTTGAGCTGACTATCCAGGAATGACCCAAAGTATTTAAAGTTTGCCACAGTTTCAACAGGTTGGCCATTGAGTGAAACTGGTATGACTTTCAGGTCTTGTTTAGGTCATTTAATCTGTTATTCACGAGAGGACCCAAATTTGGGTCCTCATTGTGAATGACAACCTGTGAACAACAGGTTAATTAGCCCTAAATCCTTAAGAAAATGAAAAAGTATTGTGTTTTATTAGAGAATATATCTTTTATGTAAACACTGAGTTTGGATGACAAGAGGCCCTACAGCCAGAATTGATCAAGTGAAATCTTAATATTTCAGAATGATTTTTTGTATTAAATGAAATGAACATGCTTTGTATCCAGCCCAGGATGCTAATTTTTGAGACCCCAAAGATTTTTCTTTTCTTTTCTTTTTTTAATAAATACATTTTTTTAATAAATGCATTTTTTTGCACATTGTACTTTTGTTTAAAACTCATAGAACCTAACAAGGTGAGTTGTATTGATGTTTTTGTATTTTTCTGAATTTAAACAACAATCAAGTATTGGAAAAATATTAAGCTATAATTAATTTCTTTGGGAACAACATGGATTTACTGATTAGGAGACATATTAAACCTGCCATGTATCAATTCATACCTGCTGATATATAGAACTACCTATTAATGTGCTGTAATTTCCATGGGTAAAATATTGTTTCTCTACTGGATGGGGCAGTAAAACTAGTTCCAGCCCATTGGCCCTCATCCTTATAAATCCAGAGTCTATAGGGCCACATAAACAGTTATGGTGCTACATTTGTGTAGGTTTGTACAACAAAATTTTTTGTGTGTAAATGTTGCACAAGCCTACATATTAACACGTTTTAACACATTTTTTTCAGAGGTCAAAGGTCAACCAGTCCCTTCATAGTTTACCAAAGCAAACAAATTTGGTGTCAATCAAATATGTTACATAAATCTTAGCTGCACAAAAGCAATAGTTTTATTTTGTTAATGTTGTGCGTGCAGGTTGACCTCTTATGACCTTTGGAAAATGTTTATTGAAATTTTTAAAAAGATAAAGGCACAAATAAAAAAATTTGCTGTACAAACTTTTGACATTCTAATTTTATGATAATTAAGTGTATAAAAAGTTAAGTATATTTTGGTTTTCTACAAATGTTCTGTATATCACTGACTATTGATGCCATTGTTCTCCTTCTAGACTCCAGTAACACCAGACTTTTCCTTATCAAACTCCGGGGCGTTTACATTAATGAACCCTCTGAACTACAGCATTGTACCAAAGTACAATTTTATTGTCACTGCCAGAGTAAGGAAACACAGAAACAAACTATATTTATACATTCTGATTTATTTAACTCTTAACATAAATATGTCATCCCTTTTTTTGTTGTTCCTGTTGTTGCAGGACAATGGCGGAAACTATGACACAACCTCAGTTGAGATTGTTGTAGACATTGACAACTTAAATCCCTTTTTCAGCCACAGTCTCTACCAGGCTGTTATTCTAGAGAACCAGGTGAGGCTCATTTAGTGGTTATGTGAATTTTATTGTTTGGATGTAAAGCAGAAATTTATTTCAAACTGACAGAATTGTTGTGAAGAACAGACTGACTGTGTTTCAGGACGGGGATCTCAGTGAAATACGACCAGAACCAATAAAGGCCCAAGATGGAGACACTGGGATCAACATGACGATAACATACAGCATCACTTCAGGTACAGAAAACCTGCTGTGGTAAAACTGTCAGTTCAGACATGTTTACCATAGAACAGAAACTGAGCATATAAACCAAAGGGGCCGAAAGTCGGTCCTCAAGGGCCGGCGGCATCCTGCACGTTTCAGTTCTCTCCCTGGTGGTTTCAGCTTGTCAGTGTTCTTCTTATGCCTCTAATGAGCCATCATTTGATCCAGGTGTGTTAAACCAGGGAGAGAACTAAAACATGCAGGATGTCGGCCCTCGAGGACCGACTTTGGGGACCCCTGATATAAACAGTCATATAAATTTAAAAATATGTATGTCTGTTCAGTCTCTCCTGTCGAGTACCAAGCAAACTTCAACATCGACGCCGACACCGGAGTTCTGACTGTGGTGACGTCGTTTGACAGGGAGGAAATGGACAGAGGTGAAATCTCTGTCAACATCAAGGTATTATCATTTATTCCCTGGTAGAAAGTGAAGAAAACTCGAACATCATTAACGATATTATGAGAGCAGAGAGGAAGTTTACATACACCAAAGAAAAAGACACAAATAAACTTCCTGAAGTTAAATCAGAGCGAATGTCTCTTGTTTTAGTTCGGTTAGAATTACCAAAATTATTTCTATTTTAAATGCCACAAAAATGAAAAATATGTCAGGTTTATTTATTAATGTCTTTGAGATCAGAAGTTTACATACTTTTCTGTTGCATTTGAACTCTATGAACCTAAGAAAACCTTTTAGGTAGTTGGATGGAGTTCTGGTCCATTTCTCCTGACAGACCTGGTGGAACTGGGTCAAGCTTTCTGATAGTCTACATTTAGTCTGCTTTTGTTTTTCTTTGGGGTAGTGGGGATTTTTTTAATTTCATTTATAAACAGTCACCATGATCAAATATAAATATATGCAAAATTTGTTTAATGTGTCAAATAAAATACAAAGTAGATAAATAGAAATATAAACTAATTTGGCTAAAAAAACAACAGTCTGAAATCAGCTACCATTTCTTCCATTGCTCACGGACATTTCCAGTGAAGTAATGACTGACTGTCATGTTGTTGCAACCCCAGCCCCAGCCTATCCTGCAGCTCCTTTTGCTTTACCAACAATAACCAAAGTTTGTTATACATCTTCCCTAAAGTTTTAAAGCAAGTTTTTCTTACCGGTATTATTGTGAATACGATATGGTCCACACCTACGTGGAACTAGTACTTTTTCATCAATAAAGTTGCTTTTAAGTTAGCTTTGTGGAATTTCAAGTATACTAAGATATTTGCACTAGAAACTAGAACAAAAATACTTTGTAAGATTTTGTGTTTTTGCAGTGAGTATGTACACTTATGCTTTCATGTCTATATATAGAATAAAAATATATCACTAGAAAACCATGACATGGATTCACTGTAGCTTTGAGCTCAGTCTGTATGAAATATGATTGTGTCTTAGGCGGCCCAGACAGACGACCCTCTGAAGACCGCTGATGCCGTCGTCTCCGTCACAGTGGAAGATATGAACGACAACGCTCCAGAGTTTGATCGGCCGAGCTACAACGCCACCGTTCTAAAAAACTCCTTCACTAATACCATCACTGATTTGGACCAGGTGGGCTTTTCTATTGTCATAACTGTTTGTTTTGTTTTTTTTGCATTTTCTAATCACGTAGATGAAAACTGAATAGACTTTGCCAGGGAGCCTTAAGAGTGTGACCCCTCTGTCATTGGAGCACATCCTCCGGTCACCATCCCAGTCTGCCAATCCAGGGAAACTCCCCTCGATCTCCCTGCAATATCTAAAACTGTACCCTTAAGACCAACACAGTGCTTCAATCGAAATAAAAGGATATCATGGTCAATGGTATCGAATGCTGCACTTAAATCTAACAACAATAAAACCGTAATATCCCCTGAATAAACCACTAGAAGGAGATCATTAAATACTCTAAGCAAGGCGGTTTCTGTACTGTATAATTAATTTGGTCCACCTGGAAATCAAATCTGCTCCCTCACAGAGGCGTTGATTAACAAATTTGTCAAGTTTGTTGTTTTCTTATCTGTCCAAACAGAAATTCTTTCCAAGTCTTGGGCTTCTGGCCAGTCCTCCCTCTCACACGAGCAGGAGAAGACGGGTCAGAATGACTTGACTCTGTGCCAGAACCTTATCCTTGCAAAAACAGCTGGCAATAGCATTTCCACTCTAACAACAGTAAACTGCAAACAGGATTATAGTTTATTATATTTAATGGTGAGTGTCGCTGCAAACATCAGCGAAAAATTGACCACAGCTGCTATGCGCTCACGGTTAGAGACGAGCCCCCCCCTTTTCAAACTGATTGGACCGAAGACGTGTTGTATCTTTGGGACGATCAGCCACCCGGACAATCCTTCCCGTAACGTTCAGCTTGCTGAAGAACCACTGTCACCAAAGTTGTTTTGGAAGTCCTCTTATTAAAATGTAGAAACATTGAATCAATCAAACAGTGAAATGTGCATTTATTTTGAAGATGTTTTATACAAAGGTCAACAAATTTTAGACCGTTGAGATTCTCAGAGAAGCTGAGAATGAATTAATAAGTTCATACATTGCTTTTTATAGTTTCTTCCTATAGAGCGTGTCACATACACAACGTTCTCCCTTATAGAACTTTCCATCTCAACATCATCGTACATAACAAGAAGATACAGTCTGGCTCATGTCTGGTTTTGTATCTATGACCTTTCAAAAACAACAGTTCAGGCAAAGTTCAAGATGATAAAACAACCTTCAAAAACAGCCTTTCATAAGTTAATTTTTCTAGCAAATAAGTCAAAGTACAAAGCTGTAACCACAGTGCAAATAACATTTTCAAGTACCTTCTTTAAATACCACCTTTAATACAAATAAAATAATGTCCCGTGGAGTTGTCAAAGGGCAAAAGAAGAATTCCATATTGATCACTCAAGTTAACATGAACAGAACATTGGACTAAGTGTTCCCTCGCCCGGACGTGGGTCACCAGGGCCCCACTCTGGAGCCAGGCCTGGAGGTGGGGCACGATGGCGAGCGCCTGGTGGCCGGGCTTTTACCCATGGAGCTCGGGCGGGCTTAACCCGAAGAGGAGACATGGGTCCCCCTTCCAATGGGCTGACCACCTGTCAGAGGGGCCAAAAGGGTCGGATGCAGTGTGTGATGGGCGGGAGGGGACCCTGGTGGTCTGATCCTCGGCAGCAGAAGCTGGCTCTTGGGACGTGGAATGTCACCTCTCTGGTGGGGAAGGAGCCGGAGCTAGTGAGCGAGGCTGAGAGGTTCCAGCTAGAAATAGTCGGCTTCACCTCGACACATGGCTCTGGTTCTGGATCCAGTATCCTTGAGAGGGGCTGGACATACTTCCACTCTGGAGTTGCCCATGGTGAGAGGCGCCGGACAGGAGTGGCCATACTTGTTGCCCCCCATCTTGGCGCCTGTATGTTGGGGTTTACCCCGGTGAATGAGAGGGTAGCCTCCCTTCGCCTACGAGTGGGGGGACAGGTTCTGACTGTTGTCTGTGCTTACGGGCCGTACAGCAGTTCAGATTACCCACCCTTCTTGGAGTCCTTAGAGTGGGTACTAGAGAGTGCCCCTCCTGGGGACTCCCTTGTTCTACTGGGGGACTTCAACGCTCACGTAGGCAATGATGGTGACGGTGAGACCTGGAGGGGCGTGGTTGGGAGGAACAGCCCCCCAGATCTGAACTCGAGTGGTGTTCTGTTGTTGGACTTCTGTGCTCGTCACAGATTCTCCATAATGAACACCATGTTCAGGCATAAGGGTGTCCATATGTGCACTTGGCACCAGGACACCCTAGGCCGCAGTTCGATGATCGATTTTGTCATCGTTTCATCGGATCTGTGGCTGTATGTCTTGGACACTCGGGTGAAGAGAGGTGCGGAGCTGTCCAGTGACCACTACCTGATGGTGAGTTGGCTCAGCAGTGCAGCACCAACACTGTTTATAGTGGTGATGGTCTGCTGCTGACCTCGACTTGGGACGTTGCGGGCCAGTGGGCAGAATATTTCAAAGACCTCCTCAATCCCACCAACATGCCTTCCATCGAGGAAGCTGTTGGGTGACGAGACTCTGCAATATTGAATGGACATCGGGGGCAGTTCCCTTGGATTGGCAGACTAGGGTGGTGGTCCCCCTGTTCAAAAAGGGGGACCGGAGGGTGTGCTTCAGTTACAGAGGGGTCACACTCTTAAGCCTCCCTGGTAAGGTCTATTCAGGGGTCCTGGAGAGGAGGGTCAGTCAGATAGTCGAACCTCGGATTCAGGAAGAGCAGTGTGGTTTGCATCCTTGTCGTGGAACACTGGACCAGCTCTACACCCTCAGCAGGGTCCTGGAGGGTGCATGGGAGTTCGCCCAACCGGTCTACATGTGTTTTGTGGACTTGGAGAAGGCGTTCGACCGTATCCCTAGGGAGGCCTTGTGGGGGGTTCTCCGAGAGTATGGGGTACCGTACCGGGCCCTTTGATACGAGCTGTTAGGTCCCTGTATGACCGGTGTCAGAGTCTGGTCCGCATTGCCGGCAGTAAGTCGGGCTCGTTTCTGGTGAGAGTTGAACTCCGCCAAGGCTGCCCTTTGTCACCGATTCTGTTCAGTACTTTCATGGACAGAATCTCTGACCAGCCGAGGTGTTGAGGGGATCCGTTTTGGTGGCCTTAGGATCGCATCTCTGCTTTTTGCGGATGATGTGGTCCTGTTGGCTTCATCAGATGGTGATCTGCAGCTCTCACTGGAGCGGTTCGCGGCCGAGTATGAAGCGGCTGGGATGAGGCTCAGTGCCTCCAAATCCGAGTCCATGGTCTTGAGCCGGAAAAGGGTAGAGTGCCTTCTCCGGGTCAGGGGGGTCATACTACCTCAAGTGGAGGAGTTTAAGTATCTGGGGATCTTGTTCACGAATGAGGGAAGAAGGGAGCGGGAGATCGACAGGCGGATTGGGGCAGCGTCTGCTGTGAAGCGGGCGCTGTACCGGTCCGTCGTGGTGAAGAGAGAGCTGAGTCAAAAAGCGAAGCTCTCGATTTACCGGTCGATCTACGTTCCCACCCTCATCTATAGTCATGA